AGAAGGCGCCATGGAAATTTCACTTCCTCACCAGATCCACGCCTCTAGAACCAGATCCGCCGCCGGGGGAGCACGGGCGGATAGATCCGGATGCTCCACCAATAGATCAGCTGCATGGGGGAGAAGGGGCGTCTTTGCGGAGGAGGAGGGCATGGGGAAGGAGGGGCACTGTCGCAGAGGAGGAGGGGCAAGGCTGGGCTGCCGCGCCTCGCCACCGGGCAACTGTGCCTGCGAGGCTGCGCCGTGGGGCCGCAAGCTTGTCCCCCGGCCTCCAAATTCGCTTGGGTGAGGGAGAGGGAGAGGGAGGAAGGCACGGGAGACGGAGGGAGTGGCGGAGATGGCACTCGAGATCCGCTTGGGTGAGGGAGGGGAGACGTTGTGTGAGAGAGAGATGAGTGAGGGATTGGAGATGGGCTAGGGTTTCATCTGAGATATATATTGTGACCCCTGTTGTTGGGCCATGATGGGTAGAGATGGACTATGAGTGGGCTCAGGTACATTAAGGGAGGCCCGCCTCCAAAAATGGAGGCATTTTTGGAGGCCCATTAATAGATTTTATGAACCGCCTCGGTAAATCGATTTTGCGAGGCGGTTAATTATGACCGCCTCGGTTAATAAAAATGACCGCCTCGGTTAATCCCAGGCATTAACCAAGACAGTTCAAAAGCTCGCCCGCCTCTGAGCCCCTTTGCCAAATGCCTCGGTTAAGTTTTTATATAGTAGTGTCTTTTTGGCTAAGAAAAGACAACAAATTTGGCATAGCAAAGTTAATGAGTTTAAATATTCCAAGACATAAAGTCAATGAGTTTAAATACAGGCAAATGACATTCAACAAAACCTATAGTTGTAAGACCGTCGACTATTTGGGAAAAAAGAGAGGAAAATAACTCATCTTAGATTTTGGAGTGGCTCACGAAGAATGGAGAGACAAATTCCAATAAAGTAAACCTCAATTTTAATTCTTATTAGGTGTTTAAGATTACCCTGCTATCAATCATATATAAAGAAAAACAAATGTCCCTTTGCATATCAATAAATTATTGCTCATCACTGCCATTATTTGCTTGTTACACTAGTAGAGAACAGACTTTTGGTTCTAGGCTTTAGTCCCGACTATTTTTTGGTCCAGCACTAAAGATAGGATTAGTCTAGGTTGGAGCAACCAATTGGGACTAAAGTCCCCTGTCCAACGGCTAGAGGCGTAGCTTTTGCAGGAGGGGACCTTTAGTCTCGGTTTGTGGTTCAAATCAGGACTAAAGGTCACCCTCCAGTCCCATTTGGAGCTACCAGCCATGACTAAACCTTTAATCCCGGTTGGTGGCTCCAACCAGGACTAGAACTCTACCTGTAGTCCGGGTTTATACCATAAACCGGGACTACATGTCCCGGGCTATATACTTTCTCCTTCCTCCCTCAACCCGAGCCATTTCAAGCTCTCTGTCTGCTCTCTGTTCTTGCTCGTGGAAGGAGTTCAGCTTGCGGGATTGGTGAAGACTTCATTCCTCCATCCATTCTTCGGTTCTAAAGGTTACCAACTTCATCCTCTCATATTTCATCACTAGCATGGCTCATTTTTTTGTCTAAAATTAGATAAATTTGTGGTTTTTTAATTGGGAATGATGGTGGATTTTTTTTTATTTATATACCATTTGAGCTCGAAATCACTTGGTAGTTTGAATATGAAGATGAAGCAAGCTTATAGTTTTTATCAAAACTAGTATGCACCTTTCATTGCCTCATTTCATGATCTAGAAATAGAGAAATTTTTTGGTTTGCTAGATTGGGAATAATGGTGGATATTTTTGATTTATATGACATTGGAGCTCAAAATCACTTGATAGTTTGCATATGTAGATGAAGGAATCTTATAGTAGCTCATCAAAACTAGTATGCACCTTTCATTGCCTCATTTCATGCATGGTTTAGTAAATTGAGAAATAAAAGGATTTTTTTTTGTATATAGCTCATTTAATTTCATGGTTCACAATATGAGAAACTTATATTAGTTAATGAAAATGAGTATAGAGAGTCGTAGATGGCGACTGCTTCTGGGTCCTTAGCCTTGCATGAGGTCCCTAAGCGACTGAGGCCGGACCTCCCTCTCATTGCGTGCAGCAAGTATGGGTAGAAGATTGTGAGGGAGTACATGGTGAAGAAGAAGGGTCCCAACCAAGGGCGCATCTTCTACACATGTCCGAATCGTGAAGTGAGTAATTTTTTGTCATATTTTGTTATGGTTTGTAGCCATTTTTAGTGATGATTTTGATTAAAGTTCTTGATTTGTTGTTGTCATTTCAGTGGGATGGCACTGGATCATGTGACGGTTGGTACTGGGAAGAAGAGTATGTTGAGCACGTTTAAAAATCTCTTGCAAAGGAGACTGAGGCGGCTGATGAGAGTGCACCTATGTATAGTGAGGCAGTGAACCAGCAGAAGAATGATCTGTCTATTTTAGTTGGAATTGGTCGCAAAATCCTTATTCTGCTGAAGTGTATTGTAGGTTTAGTTTGTTTAGTGCTATTTGGGATTGTCTACATTGTATCCAAGCTTTAATAAATTAATATTCGAGAGTACGTGAAACAGCTGTATGGTTAATTAATCATGTTGATTAATGGATATTTTAGATCTTTTAATTAACTACTAACCATGCATGTTGTATAATATGGGTTATTACAAGTTTTTGATATGGTGTACGTCATGTAATGCAGATGAACCGATAATGGATGTACAACGCTGATCGCCGCTCTCCAGAGTTCATGAGGGGCGTGCATGATTTCTTAAATGTGGCCAAGGCAAACACGCGGATTGGTTTCATGTGCTGCCCATGTGTTCTATGTAAGAATGAGAAGGATTATTCTTGCTCAAGAAAAATTTATGAACACCTATTTTACGTCGGGTTTCATGCCAAACTATATTTGTTGGACTAAGCACGAAGAAAGAGGTGTTATAATGGAAGAAGATGAAGAAGAAGAAGGAGATGATGACAACATGATTATTTGTGGTTTGCTGAATACGGTGCCTTTGATGATACTGCAATGGGGGAAGCTGAAGAAAAGGTAGCTAGGTCAGTGGAAAGTGCCTCTGAATGTAACCCAATACCTAGTAAGTACTAGCTAGGTCACCGCATCTTTATTTAGTTCAATTCATTATTATCATGCTTCATTGGTTGATGATGAATCTTTTTCTCGTAAAGTGGTGTCTGCAGCAGGGATCGGGGAACAGCTTATATGGATACTACGTGTGTGAGTTCATGATGGAGTACTAAGGAGAACATGTGAAGAGATCCTCGAAGTACGTAAAAAATATACATAATTTATTTATTACTATTGTGTTGATATATATAATCATATATATATATTCATACTTTTCTTTTCATTCGAATTGAAGATTGAATGGAGGAAGCGAAAGGTTATGCGATGTGACCAGATCAAAGCAATTCAAGAGGCATTGACAGTATTTCTTGTGGATGAGGTCATAGATGACAAAGGCGCGTACCACTATGACCCTAAAGAATTAATACCTAGTAGCCATACGATTGAAGATAATTAGGGTTGAATGAAATTCCAAGGACATGATCAGTACAAGGTCTTTGTGACTTTATTATGTACATATTCCATGCATGTACAACCTCTGGAAATATTTGTATATATGTAGTTTCATACATTTTAGTGTGTTATTTATGTATAATGCTCGAACGGAACCTTATACGTGGACGTATATTAGCAGCGTAGAATTCGTATATGAAAATCTAATCGAAACCAAAAAAATTTGAATTGAAAAGAAACCATAAAATGAAAAGGAATGAAATGGAAAAAAAAACTTAGTACCGGTTGGGAACACCAATTGGGACTATATGTGCCAGCCCCGGTGCAATGCTTGAGGGTCATTTAGTCCCGGTTGGTAATAGCAATCGGGACTAAAGGTCCACTTTCATTCCCGGTTGCCAGAACCGGGACTAAAGACCCCCCTTTAGTCCCAGATTCGCAATCCCGGTTGGGAAACCAGGACTAAAGGGGGTTTTCCAACCGAGACTGATGCTCAATCCTACACTAGTGTTATCTTATATGCATGCAGAGGAAATAATAGATCCTAGTCCCTTCATCATGAGGAGAAAAGGATATGTGCCAATTCAAAATCCCTAAGATCAGAACCAATACTTAAAAACAACATGTCAATTCATTTAAACATTAAACACATTTCATCAATCATTCATCTAAAACAACAATATTCTTTTTTGAGCAAAAAATCAAAGACACTATTTGGTGGGTACAAATTGAATTGATGTCCAATGCTCCGCTGTGAAGCCCCTCTCATTGCAACAAAAAGTGTCAGTCTTGTTTAGACTTGAGCAAATCTGGTCTGGTTTTTTTAAAAACAAAAACAAAAAAGAGAGAGGGCGGCCCAGCCTGCCCTTGCCAATGGGTTGGTCTGGGTACAGATTGTAGGCCCAGTAATAACTGCTTTTGTTGGCCTGGTCCGAACCTAGCCCAGCCCGAAGTGGATTTCTTCGCCGTGTTTCAAAACGAACTACTAATTAACTTCCAAATACTCTCCACTCACAGAGTGCATATTTCAAGAGTTCCAATTTGGAATCTTAAAGTCCAGTCCGAGCTTTCTACTTTTTACTAATATATGATAATCCGAAGCTCTCCTGCCCAGTTTGTTTCAAAAAAAAATGGAATCTTAAATGAGGGGACTTGGTAGCATATCTCATTCTCAGGCTGTCAAGCACAAATTGACTTAAGTAGCATATCTCAGTAGTGCACGAACTAATTAGCTTCCAAAAACTTAAGTAGCACATCTCTGCCACAAATTGAACCAGCAGTCATATCAGAGATCAGAATGAAACGGATTCTTCCCATTTTTGATAATTTACACGCATGGGCATGGCACATTCTTCACTTCGTTCAGACCCTCACATACAGCTTTCTTCCCGGTAAAATCAAAGACGGCAGCAGCAGCGCATGACTTGACATTTGCTCTCTTCGTGGCGTCCGTCCTCACAGGCTGGGCGTCCTCTCGGCGGCGCCAGAGATGACGGTGAGCAGGTTGTTGCCGAAGGGGTCGCTGAGGTGCTTGGCGAGGTTCTCGACGGGGCCTTCGCCGGTGACGTAGGCCTGGATGAAGAAGGCGAACATGGAGAACATGGCGAGCCGGCCGTTCTTGATCTCCTTCACCTTGAGGATCGCGGCCTGGTCGGGGTCGCTGGCCAGGCCCAGCGGGTCAAAGGGCCCACCGGGGTGCAGCTTGTCCTCAAAGTCCAGTCCGTTGATGATCCGGTAGTACTCGGCGCCGCCGACGAGGACGACCTCCGCGATCACGGCCACCACCAGGTTGATGGGGATGCTGTTGCCGAAGTAGTTGAGGGTGTTGCCGTCCAGGAGCAGGGCGCCGGTCTGCATGCATTCAGGTGACAGTGACAGACACCATCCATGAGCTTTCAGTTCAGACTTTCAGATTCTGATATTGCTACTTTGTTGTATCTACCAACTAAAATGTGAAATTTTTGTAAAACTATGTTGTGTTCTATTTTGTTCTTAAATAAATGCAATGACATGCAATTCTCCGGTATATATCTGAATCTTTTCTTTTGGGAACGGTATATATCTGAATCTGATCTGAGAAAGAAAAAAAATTGCTACTGAAGTAGTATGATGATTCTGAGAGGTGGTGATCAGGACCTTGAACCAGACGGCCTCAGGGCCGCAGTTAGCGCCGAACTTGTTGCAGGCCTCTGGGATGACAGCGCCAGCGGCACCGAGCATGGCCCATCTGGCATGGATCAGCTCGTAGGCCTGGTACCTGCACGGCGTTGATGGTAGGATAAGATTTTGCTGAATAGTTGAGACTATAATCAAATTCTTTGCTTGTATATATTGTACGTGAGTGAGACTAGAATCTCAATGGTCAGGCTGTGAAATTATATGTTTGGGATAGAGATCTGAGACTCACTTGGCAAAGTCCTCTGGTTTCTTGCCCAGGCCAAAAGGGTCGTAGCCATAGCTGTAAGTTGGAAGAGCAAAAAAGTTCAGTTCAGATACGTTAACGTCGATTTTCTGCAGCATTTCATTTCAAGAAAAGTAGAGGAAAGGACGGCCTTAATCGCTGAAGATTGTTGTTTAAAAGTGTAACAAAGATTAGTTCAAATTTCAAATGCTGGCTTAAGAGCTTGAGAAACTTGTGTACTTTCAGAACGAATTCTACAAAAAGCAATGTTGCGCCATTTTGGTGAAAAATCTGATATTGACCACAAAATACTTTTTTTCATGAAAAAACTTCTTTTGTTCTGGTCTATGAAATTTCTACTTTTGTTTAAACTGACTTGTAGTACTAACCTGAAATCAAAATTTTCTGAAACAAACAAAACCCTTATAGAAGGCGAAATTGGAGTCATGTGACTTACTCTCCAGGGACCTCTCCGGTGAGGTACTCCGGCACCTCCGAGCGGTCCAAGAGCCCATCCGGCAGGAAGATCCTCCTGTCAGGACCTAATGGGACATAGAACAAGAGGCAAATTACTATACAAGAACCTTCTCAAGATTTTCATGGGCAAAGTTCTATATCTCAAACATAAAACAAGAGACAATTACTTTTTTTCGAAAGGGCGGCAAAAGCTTTGCCGCGGATTTTATTAGACGATATAAAGAGAAAAAAAAAGAGCAAATACAACTCCCTATTTACACCCAGCATCCCCTGTTAATCAAAACGGAAACCAGTAAAACGGCAGAAAACAACTATACAGGTAAAAAGACTGAGACTAGGGACACTCCGAAAACAAGAACCCTGACCCAACTGAAGAAGAGGTCTACTGCTAGTTCGCCGTATTATGAATTGGAGCAGAGACAATTACTACAGAAGAAGCTTCTGAAGATTTCATGGCAAAGCTCTATCAAACGCCGAACAAAAGGGAACCCTGAAGCAAATTTGAATCCTAAGAAGTTGGTGCATTCCTAGCAGTTGGGGCCAGGTCTACTCACCATACCACTTGGCGAGCTCGTCGCTGATGTCTGGAGAAGAGGACGATACTGGAACGGGCTTCGGCTTCTGGGCAGGCTTCTTGCTGAAGAGGGAGACAATCTTCTGAGCCCCCGCGGTGGGCGCTGCGGTGGCGTAGCGGGAGGAGCCGGCGAAGTTGAGCTGGGTGCCCAGAATCTTCGATGGAGCGAGCGCCGCCATTGCTGGAGACCCACAATTCAGAGAAAGATTTGCAGGAGGGGATGGCTGATGGGTGTTTGTGGAGGAAAAGGTGAGCTAGTTTAAATGGATGAAAATGAGGATCGGAGGATGCTGTGGGCCCAGCAGAGATTTGGCCATGGGAGCTGCCATTGGCTGGGTGCCCATGAGGGCTATCTGTTGCTTGGATGGGATTGGGCAGGCTGTGCTTACTTGGCAGATGAGGGTGTTGATGTGGCAACTTTAGAGAGTGCTGATGTGACAACTTTAGAGGGTGCTGATGTGGCAGCTTCAGGGCCTCTTGTGAACTTGTTTGTCAGTTGGGGCTAAATGGTCCAAACAGCAGATAGGTCCAAACAGGATAGATAGAGACCCAGGGTAACGAACCAGAGGGAGAGAGCGAGCCAGCCAGCCAAGACAACAATTGCAGGCCACACACTGATACCAGAAGGGTGAAGAACACACGCACAAGCACGAAACAGAGTTCATCTGAAGCTCATAGCATCAAATTTCCTCCAATTTAACAGAAGTGATGAGCTGTGCACTGTAACTAATAAACATCGACCAGAAATCATATGTATTGTCTCAGGATCCTACCTAAATACAAAGCTACTAGCTGATGAGCAATAGAAAGTCATGAGATGCAACAGGCTGCACTCTAGGGCTAAGTCTTACTGCCTGTTCAAGATAATTGCTACTTGCAAGCAATCTCCGTTGACAAAGTTCAAGATTCGTCTCAAAAAAAAAATCAAGATGACTAATAGAGATGACAATGCAGCGGTGCAGCTCAACGCCATTTTTCAATTCCTTTTGATGTTGCTGTCACAAACTTCTTGGTGTTTATAACCAGCTCGTCAAATAAACCAACGACAGTGTCCCTGGAAAAGAGGAGTGAGAAATGATGAGCAACATCACACAACGATAAGAATGTTCTTTTATTAGCAAATTGGTGAAGTTTTGTCCAAGACATGACACACCCTGGAAAAGGTAATAAGCTGGGAGACCAAATAAATCTCATGCTATTTTACTATTTATGGCTACTGACTACAGTATTTCTTCTAATCGGAGAATTAGAACCATCTTCTCAGTGGAGACAATCATCTAATTGAGTGCGCTTAGTCTGTTCAAAAATTTTAAAGAGAATGCTGATAGTTCAGTAGCATTTCTTCAAGACACAGAATAATATAATATTACCATGACACCAGAATGTGGATTAAGGAGGTTATTGCAATATAAATCCATACTAACCCTACTAAATTACAGGTGTCAGTTATATCTTGGGTACTTTTGTAGTTAACATCTGTTGCTTGCTCTTGCAATTTATTGGGATAGGCAGGTGACCTGCGAAGGCATGTGTTATGTACAGCAACTGCACATACATATTGCCCACCACAGCATGAGTTCTTGGCAAAGAGACCTCAGGATAAACAGATACTATGAAGCAACAATGTCACACAAGTTCCTAAATTTTTGGCCTAGCCATGAAGGCGAACCATTCCTCCTTTCTGTCCTCTTGTGCAAGAATGAAAGGCTGCCAACAAGCAGCTGCAGGAGAAGATAACAGTAAGATTATATGGGCTTTCAAAATGTTCATTATTAAATTTGAGTCTTTTCCTGTGTGCCATTATAAAAGTTTGCAATTCCATATGTGCCATTAAAAAAGTTGAGCGGACACAGGTTTCACTGGTCCGATTTTTTTTCGCCCTCCACGCCATTCCGTCCATGTTCCGCTGGGTTTTCATGGTTTGGCAGCCCTGACATGTGGGACCAGCCAGTGAAAATGTCCAGAATACCACTGCTTGAATAGGCCACTCATTCTCAACTCTATGCCCCTCCGCTCCACCACACCTTCTCTCTCCCCTATCTCTGCAGTCTGCACGCTGGGCCCGCGCGCATCACAGGCAGGCACGATGTCGCCGTTGCGCATGCAGGACCGGTGAACGAGGTTGCTTGATTTCTGGCTGCAGGTGGACAGCACCAAGTATGGGACCTTGCTGGAGGTGGTTCAGATGCTGACCAATCTGAAGCTGACCATCAATCAGGCCTACATTTCCTCCGACAGAGGGTGGTTCATGGATGGTGAGTGCCGCGCCTCGGCCTCCTTCCCTACTGTCTTTGGAAAGTTTAAGAAGATAGATGAGAGAAAGATGGTGCCTTTGTGGGGTGATGCAAAGTCTGGCTTTTGCTTGGGTTGTGATCTTTCTATCCTCCTTTTTTTCTCCAATCCTGATGTGTGATCTGTGGTGGGTGTGTGGTTTTGCTTAGCTTTCTGCAGTGTTCCATGTCGTGGATCAGGATGGGAATAAACTTCATGATGGCCAAGTCATTGACAGAATTGAACAGGAAAAGTGTAGAGGTCCCTGTTGAATGTTGATTGCTATGGTGGCTGTTCAATGCCAGCCAAGAACAGAACGAGTGCAGAACAATCTTCAGTTTCGGTTTTGACGATTTGATTCGATGTCGTGCTGATTCCAACTGACTTGAGTGGCACAGGAGGAAACAAAAGAAAATTAGAACTCTAACTGACTTGAGGGCAAAATGGTCATTTCCTTCATCTGTTTGACACCGTTAGAGGCAAATATGGATGGAATGGCATGGAGGGCAAAAAAGTTCGGACCAGTGGCACTGTGTCCACTCAACTTTTTTAATGGCACATATGGAATTGCAAACTTTTATAATGGTACAGAGGGAAAAGTTTTCCCTGTTTGCCATTAAAAATATTTGCAATTGCCATTATAAAAGTTAGCAATGCCATATGTGCCATTAAAAAAGTTTGCAATTTCCACCTTGAGTTCTAGATTGCACACCATATTCAGAGGGAAAAACAGCAGTTTAGCATATCATGCTTCATGGCACCATAATATATTTGAAATCAAATGTATTGACAGCACGTGCTGATTTGAGTTTCTGACCACGCAACATTAATTTCAAATTAAACTGGAGAGTTTTCCTTTTTCTTTTTGGTAGTGAGCAGACCATATAGAGTTGAAATGAATTACTGGCACTATGGCGCATGATTTGTGAGTATTATTACAAGGTCATCCTTAACACTAATCAACAATAACAAAACATTATAAAGACTAAAAAGACTTCATTAATTCAATAAGACTATTGTTGATGTGGAAAGATTGAAACTAGCCACCACACAAATAAATCAGGTAAAAAAATTATTATTGTAAACTTAGGACTCATGCCGTATGTAGAAAAAGCTACCTACAATGCACAAGGAAACACCATGAATCAAAACACCTGTGAAAACAAATTTGCCAAATTCTTTTCTTGTGTCCACAATAAACTTACGTAGGAAGATGTGGAGCTTCCTGGAACATTTTGCCAACATTGAAGTATCTTTTGTTTTCATCATATGCAATTCCTTTGCCCAACCCATAACCAAAGCCAATTCCTACACCACATCCACCTCCAACTCCAAAGCCTAATGTGAGTCCAGGAAATCCATATCCTAATCCTGCACCTAAAGTAATCATGGAAAAAATATGTGTGCAGACATATAACATTCATGATGAAAAACAAATTACTTAAAACATCTTTTCTACGCTTAGTGTAAAATAATAACACAGGCACACAGCCACTAGATCTCCATAACTCCTAGTTTCACCAATCTAGAAACATATTAAGCTTTGAAAATAAAAATTATGCATATATATGCTCTAATGTTAGGTGTGAGCAACAAGAACCAGTTGATAAGTAAAAATCATTTCATACATGTATGTCTCTGGAGTCTGGAGTTCATGATTCTCCGTACCATATTTTATCATTCAGAATTTCACCCTGTGCTTAAGCCAAGTGAGCTTTTCAGCCTCAAAGTTCAACTACAACAAGGTCATTGTATCCTTCACAGTCTTCTAGATATTTAGATGTACACTCACCTGGTGCCATGTGGGGCTTTCCTATGTATGGTTTACGCCATAGGATATAGGTCAATACACTCACTCCCTCAGCCCCTCCCCTAGGTCTTTTATCCCCTAAAATATAGAACCAGATCTTCCATTTATTTAGTTGGCTAAAGTGGACATGAGATCCGCATCCGTCAGATAGTGTATCATTTTTTTTTTCAATTCTGAAGTGGCAGGTATTAATTCATCCACTCAATTTTCAGAATGCTAACAATATCAACAATCACTATGCCACTGGCATTAGGAATTGATATTTTTCTGCTGACAACCATGCACATGTAGAACTTGGTAATAATGTGTTTCAGTTCAAACATCAAATGGTCTGAGATGGAAAATTTTGATATTGTAAGAGCATACATGCTTGCTCCCTCTATCCCAAAATAACTACACATCTCGCTTTTCAAGGATCAAACTTTTTAAGTTTGACCAAAGATATACCAAAAAAATATATTTGTGATGCTTAATAGGTATCATTAGATTAATACTGGAATATAGTTTCATATTAAACATATTAGGAGATACAAATGTGGATCACATTTTCTAAAAATCTAATCAAAGTTTAAAAAAACTCTGCCTATGGTGGGGCGCCTTTGGTGTCCCAGCATAGCAGGTCCCAAGCCCTGGTAAAGGAGGAGGGTTGTGCTAGGCGCGGCGAGCCAATGTAAAAACTTAGCCACTTTTATGGAGATGAAACCCAAAAGAATCCCGTTGGGGCGTAACCCTCTTAGCGACGCGCCATGTCGGAACTCGGGTATGGTGTTAAATGAGCAAGGGCTGGGTCGTCACCCCCGTGACGCGCCGTGTCGCGATCTGGACACGGTGTCAAGTGAGCAAGGATCGGGTCGTCGCATCCTTAGTGGCGCGCCACATCGGCGCCCGGGTGTGGTGCAAAATAAGCAAGGGTCTTCACACCTACTCGGCGGGTGCGAAGGGTAAGGAAGCTAGTCGAGTCAACTAGGATCCATTTAGGTAGCTGGAATGTAGGGTCCCTTACGGGTAAGTTAAGAGAGTTAGGGGACACAACGGTTAGGAGGAGTGTAAATATCTTATGCGTCCAAGAGACTAAATGGAAGGGACAGAAGGCGAAGG